GGGAGCGGGGGACCACCAGGTTGCCTAAAGGAGGGGTGAACCGGCCCAGGTCGGAAATGGAGCAGGTCAAAACTCCCGTGCTAATGAGTAGTGGGATCTTGCCTGTGAATAGCCACTGCACTCCAGCCTGGGCAACATAGCAAGACCCTGTCTCTTTAAATACATAAATAAATAAGTAAATAAATAAAGGAAAGAGAAGAAGTCAAATTGTCTGTTTGCAGATGGCATGATTGTGTATTTACAAAACCCAGTTGTCTCAGCCCAAAATCTTTTTAAGCTGATAAGCAACTTCAGCAAACTCTCAGGATACAAAGTCAATGTGCAAAAATCACAAGCATTCCTATACACCAACAAATAGGCAAACAGAGAATCAAATCATGAGTGAACTCCCATTCACCATTGCTACAAAGAGAATAAAATACCTAGGAATACAACTAACGAAGAACATAAAGGACCTCTTCAAGGAGAATTACAAACCACTGCTCAAGAAAATAAGAGAGGATACAACCAAATGGAAAACATTCTATGCGTATGGATAGGAAGAACCAAATGTAATTTATCGATTCAATGCTATCCCCATTAAGCTACTACTGACTTTCTTCACAGAATTAGAAAAAAAACTACTTAAACTTTATATGGAATCAAAAAGAGCCCGCATAGCCAAGCCAATCCTAAGCAAAATGAAAAAAGCTGGAGGCATCATGCTACCTGACTTCAAACTATAGTACAAGACTACAGTAATCAAAACAGCATGGTATTGGTAATAAAACAGATATATAGACCAATGAAACAGAACAGAATCTTCAGAAATAATACCACACATCTACACCCCTCTAATCTTTGACAAACCTGACCAAAAAAAAAAAAAAAAAGCCACAGGGAAAAGATTTTCTATTTAATAAATGGTGTTGGGAAAACTGGCTAGCTATGTGCAGAAAACTAAAACTGGACCGCTTCCTTTCATCTTACACAAAAATTAACTCAAGATGGATTAAAGATTTAAATGTAAGACTTAAAACCAGAAAAAGCCTAGAAAAAAAACCTAGGCAACACCATTCAGTACATAGGCACGGGCAAAGAATTCATGACTAAAACACCAAAAGCAATGGCAACAAATGCCAAAATAGACAAATGGGATATAGTTAAACTAAGGAGCTTCTGCACAGCAAGAGAAACTATCATCAGAGTGAGCAGGCAACCTACAGAATGAGAAAAAATTTTTGTAATCTATCCATCTGACAAAGGGCTAATATCCAGAATCTTCAAATAACTTAAACAAATTTACAAGAAAAAAACAACCTCATCAAAAATTAGGGGGAGGATATGAACAGAGACCTCTTAAAAGAAGATATTTATGTGGCCAACAAACTTATGGAAAAAAGCTCATAATCAGTGGTCACTAGAGAAATGCAAATGAAAACATCACTGAGATACCATCCATGCCAGTTAGAATGGCAATCATTTAAAAGTCAGAAAACAGGGGCCGGGCGCAGTGGCTCAAGCCTATAATCCCAGCACTGTGGGAGGCCGAGGCGGGTGGATCACGAGGTCAAGAGATCGAGACCATCCTGGTGAAACCCCGTCTCTACTAAAAATACAAAAAATTAGCTGGGCATGGTGGCGCGTGCCTGTAATCCCAGCGACTCAGGAGGCTGGGGCAGGAGAATTGCCTGAACCCAGGAGGCGGAGGTTGCGGTGAGCCGAGATCGCGCCATTGCACTCCAGCCTGGATAACAAGAGCGAAACTCCGTCTCAAAAAAAAAAAAAAGTCAGAAAACAGACGCTGGAGAGTATGTGGAGAAATAGGAACACTTTTACAGTGTTGGTGGGAATGTAAATTAGTTCAAACTCCATTGTGAAAGACAGTGTGGCAATTCCTCAAGGATCTAGAATTAGAAATACCATTTGACCTACCAATCCTATTACTAAGTATATACCAAAAGGATTATAAATCAGTCTACTATAAAGACATATGCACACATATATTTATTGCAGCACTGTTCACAATAGCAAAGAGTTGGAACCAACCCAAATGACCATCAATGATAGACTGGATAAAGAAAATGTGGCACATGTACCCCATGGAATACTATGCAGCCATAAAAAAGGATGAGTTCATGTCCTTTGCAGAGACATGGATGAAGCTGGAAACCATTATTCTCAGCAAACTAACACAGAAACAAAAAACCGAACACTGCACATTCTCACTCATAAGTGGGAGTTGAACAATGAGAACACATAGACACAGGGAGGGGAACATTACATACCTTAGCCTGTCAAGGAGTGGAGGGCTAGGGGAGGGATAGCACTAGGAGAAATATGTAATGTATTTGACCAGTTGATGGGAACAGCAAACAACCATGGCATATGTGTACCTATGTAAGAAACCTGCACATTCTGCACATTTACCCCAGAATTTTTAAGTATTACAATTAAAAAAGAAATTACCAAATGTTGAAACAAAAGAGGCATGCTTCAGAATTCTTCCCCACAGGGAGATTGTCTCAAGACATCAGTTAATGTACAACCCCACCCTGTCTTCAGTGATGCTGGCCAGGCTAATGGATCACCCATGATTACAGATAAGTCCTCCAGCAAACCATGTAGATCCTGCACCTCCATGCCCCTTCTGCATACCCTGCATACCAAAATTTCTTCTTACAACCCTGCTTTCTGCCTAGAACACTGAAGTGGCTTCTTGAGATAAGAATCTGTCCCTTCCCCATTGCTAAAATCTGGAATGAAGTCTCTTTCTTTAAACAAACAAAAAAAGTTCTTTTAAACTTAGTGATAGTAAACCTTTCATGCTTACTTCTTGTCTTTATTACACTTACTTAAGCAAAACAACCTTGGTTAAATTGTTCCTACAATTATTAATCCTGCTATTAATATAATAATTAGGCGGCCAGGCATGGTGGCTCATGTCCGTAATTCCAGCACTTTGGGAGGCCAAGGTGGGTGGATCACAAAGTTAGGAGTTCAAGACCAGTCTGACCAAAATGGTGAAACCCCGTCTCTACTAAAAATACAAAAATTAGCCGGGCATAGTGGTGTGTGCCTGTAATCCCAGCTAATTGGGAGGCTGAGGCATGAGAATTGCTTGATCCCAGGAGGCGGAGGTTGCAGTGAGCCGAGATCACACCACTGCACTCACGCTTGAGTCAAAGAGAGACTGTGTCTCAAAAAAAAAAA